ATATTTATAAAAGGCCTTGAGTGATTGTTTTCAAAAACAGCATATTCTAGGATATAATGAATGTGTATGTAAACAGGCTGTTGATCCAAGGAGAAATATGATTGACATTATGGAATCATTAAGGATTTTTTCCCTTTTAATTGCATAATTGGAAATAGCTACAATTGGGTTTTTTGTTTGTCTTATTTTGGATCAACATGATAAAATAATGGGTTCCAAGGTGGAACTTGATGGACTTCAGTCTTTTTTCAACCTAGACAACTATGTAACTAAACATGAACAGAACCTGAACAGAATCTGAACAAAATCCGAACATGGACAGAACCTGACCAAAACCTGAACAGAATCTGAATAGAACCGGAATATATCTAACAGAACCCAATCAGAATATGAACAGAACATGATTAGAATCTCAACAGAATCTGAACAAAATCTGAACAGAACATGAACAAAACTTAAAGAGAACCCAAACAGAATTTAAACAGAACACAAGGAACTAAGTAGGAATGCAATAGAACATTAACAATATATAAACAAAACCCAAGCAGCAGGTAAACAGAACATGAACAGAACCCATACATGAACTAAACAGAATAAAGGACAGAGGCAATATGGGGCTACACATGAAGTTTTCTAAATCCAGGTAAAAATCATCGTAAAAATAGAAAAATATTGCAAACAGAAAAAAATAACACAATCAAGAAGATAAAGGAGAATCGAGTGGAATACAAGCTCACATAAGCTAAGGATAATGCATGTTGGGTTAAATAATCAGATATACAATCTTAAAGTGCACGTCATTCATTTAATTAAAAATGCAGTAAAGCAGTTATCCATCAAGCAACTAACTGACTTCTCCTACTAAATGGAGACTGTTTGTTCTCAGGTAGGTGCGTGGCTTTGTAACGTGCAATGCAAAATGTTTTACAATGAATTCAAACTGCAGCTGTAAAAATAACTCTATCTGTCCAAAGCGCGAGACTGCTTAAAAGCTGGTTTGTTAAACAGTATTTTTTTAAGGAATGCTGGGCCGCTCGGTCTTAATCAGCCAATAAATTATTTCCTGCAATTACATTAAATAGAAAATTATCTTCAAATTGGGAGTGTTAATTGAAAATCTAAATTCAGAGTGAAGTTTAGAAATTACACACTGAATATAATTAGCCGGGGAAGGCTTCACCTCTGTTTTATAAACAGGCACTTGGCAATTTCTCCAGTGACCAGCCAATCGCCGCCCCACTTACTGCGCAGTTAACATGGAAACAAAACAACTCTTACGCATTGATAGGATTTTTATTTAATAAGCACATCTTTAAGATGCTTTGTAGACTGTATATTAATGAAATAGCATGTAACATTATATTGTACAGCCTATGGCAGACTAAAAAAGGCTTAAATTCAGCCAATACAACTAACTTATAAAGCTCAGCCCAGTCCTACTGCCAACTGGACCTAGTATTATGTTACATCCAATGTACAGGCCTCTAAACAGTCCCAATTTCAGTGGAATATTCCCTATTTTAGGGTCCTGTCCTGACGTACCGATTTTGACCCTTGTGTTCCGCATCTTTGGACAGCAGATAACTCACCTTAGTGTGAGTGCATCAGTATATGTGTTTACGCTGTGAACGGACACTAGGACCCTACGGGGAGTGATTTGGCAGAGCTCCCAGTATGGTCTGTATGTTGAGCTGACATCCCCTTCGGTTTGGCATCACTGGTGATGCCCCACTCAGTGCCCTTCCACCATGTCCCACCCAACGTTGCAAGGTATGAACTTTGTAGTTGTGTAAAAGATCTGTGTGTTGGAAAGTGAATGAGCAGTGTGTTGGAATGTGAATAAGTAGTGTGTTGGAATGTGAATAAGCATTGTGTTGCAATTAACAGTTTGGTCACATGAACCAAGCATAAAGCAGAGGAACAGACTAGCCCTTGACTATATACACTCGATTCTCCATTAGGTAAAGGCCAGATCTGGGGCAGAGACAAACTAAAAAGAAAATGTTTTTTTCTAACCAAACGACTGAATGTCATTAATTTTTACAAGTTTCAGTTCTGTTTGCATCATGCTTTGGTTCCAGTGTTGTTGTTATTCAGGATTCCAACAAACTGTCTGGTCTATTTATTTTATATACATTTTAAATGTGCAAAAACATGTATTCAACCTTTATATAACATGTTCCAAAAATCACTTATCAAATCAACACACAATATGACCCAGAACTACTAGTTACACGGAACACAGATAAATGTAGTAAAGGTTCCTTTGAAAAGAGACAAGTATACATTAACATATCAAAGCGCAACATATAGTAAGTTAAGGTACATACATACTATTCTGCAATTGTCAATTTAATTCTATAATGTACAGACTCACAACGAATGCTAAGTGATGGCACTGGAAGTCAGAATGATTATCTAGAACACGTTATGCTAAAATAAGAAAGACTTTAGGGTTTACAACTAAAGGCTTGAAAGAATGTTCTGGATACTAATTTGTAGGGACTCTTAAGGGACCTATCCATTATTTAAGGGCACTCGCCATTATCTGCAAGAAAAAGAATTACTGACTCTCTTTGTAGGAATCTGAAATACAGAATTATTTTTTAAAGTTGGATACTTTTATTCAATGCTAACTTATTCACTGCATCTGAGAGCAGTAAATGTTTTATAATCTTGCAAGCTGTGGCGGCCGCTCATTGTGACACAGAATAAAAAAGTCTTGGAAACCAGACTTTGACAAAGAACAAGTGAACCCCCTGGGTATTTCGTCCGTCCTTGGGGAAGGTATTACGGCTTAACTTCATCCCAAGTTGAGTGACCTGTGTTCAAGCAGGGGCTGGACATTGAATATTGAAGCTAATGCTGCCTGATAGCTTTATAATGCTAATGGTTGTAAAAGGATTCCTTGGCATGATAGGAGTTTTAATTCAGGAGCAACAAGAAGATGGCATTTGACCAGGCCTGTTATGGGGCATTGGAAGATTTAAGATGAGTAGTGATCTTGGAGATTGGGAGAGATGTCCATCCTTTATGGAAAGGGCATGATTTTATTTTCTGCCTTGAAGAAAACAGTGTATTTTTATAAAGTTACTGGGCAATAATATAATAATATAGGCTTTGTAATATTGTACACGCATAGCTACAGATCAGCCCACACCTTAGTGCCATTTTTTGCAATTTCTTTATTTAGGCAAGATTTTGTTTTGTACGTGTACAAGGATGTATTTACATCTAAAGTGTCCACGTTAGGAACTCCAGATCCTTTCCCAAACCACTCCAAAAATATAACAGCTTTTACTATATAAAAAAAATAAAAGTATCTGCTAAAAACACAAAAGAAATTATTTAAAATGTAAATACCATGAATGGTGTTCAAAAGCATATCTACAGAGGGTGTAAGTATGTGTATTTCTATCTGTGTAGTGTGAGTGTATATGAGTATTTATTTTGTGTAGTCTGTGAGTGTACATGTGTATTTTTATGTGTGTTGTGTGTGTGTATAAGTGTAATTCTATGTGTAGAGTGTGCAAGTGTAACGGTGTATTTCTGTGTGTATACTGCGCAAGTGTATAGGTGAATTTCTATGTCTATACCGTGTGAGTGTATAGGTGAATTTCTATGTGTGTAGTGTGTGAATGTATATGTGTATTTCTTTGTGTGTAGTGTGTGAGTGTATATTTCTATGTGTATTTTTCGTGTTTGCACAGACCATTGCCAGGCCTGATATCAGGACAGAGAGTGAGTTATTGGCTTATATGTGTCCGAGACGCACAAAATTTGCCTGACATCAAGCCCTCTGTAAAGGGGGATTGTTACCCTGTCGCACATGTGCATCATAATGACAGCCTGCCAAGTAAGGCATCCAACACTCACTGCCCATAGGCAGAGTACTTTAAATTGCCCTGAAAAGGATTAAAATTACACCCCAAACATTGACATAGCACTTTTTCTCAGTCCTCCCAACACAAGGTGATAGAGCTGTTATGGTCTTTAATTGGGTGGACACACCGTGTCTCCCACATTCAGAGAGCGCATGCAGCATGCAGTGTATAAATGCCTTTTTTGTCTGCACTGTATATTTTGTAGATAATGTTTGAACACTATATATAAATGTCTTGTTGCTTTGTGTAAATGTTATGCACAGTCTGTGCTGAGAAGGAACAGAAAAAAGTATTGCATATCTTGATTTATTTTTTGGATAATAAAATCAACATATATGGGAAGAATGAATGATGAATCCATACATGCAGCAAAACATTATTTTCACCAGGACATTTAATCAAATTATTTTTGGGGGACCTTGTTCATATTTTCATACCTCGCTGTTTTGTGATAAAATCCCTGCTGTGAGTGTCAGTGCCTGGGAAGTGGAGGCTAGCGCACAACTGGCTTAACACCTTAAGGACCAAACTTCTGGAATAAAATGGAATCATGACATGTCACACATGTCAAGTGTCCTTAAGGGGTTAATAAATTAATATATAAGAAAAAGGGAAGCATACTTTTATACTGCTTTTAAAGATAAACCTTTAATGTATGTACATCTAAAATTAAATAAAGTAAAAATTTCATGAGTGTATATGTAACTTTCACTTCTAGAGCTATCTTCTACTATTTATGACACCCCTCTTCCCCTCACATTAATCATTATATTGTGTGTAAAAATGGTGATAGGAACCGCACTGAATCCCAGCAGCCAACCGATGCTCCAGAGTAGGACCAGCAATCCGACAACGACAAAGCAGCACAAGAAATTCTCCAGGCACTCAGGCAGTTTTAATAGAGCAAAGACCTCTTGTTAGGTTGAAACATTGATGCTCCTTTTGTTCAAATAAAACTGCCTGCGGCTTTAACGCCTTGGGTGCCTGGAGAATTTTGTGTGCAGCTATACTGTATGTAAAGTCACAAATGTTCAATTCCATTATATTGATCAGCATTGTTTGTGATTAGTGATGTCCCGAACTGTTCGCGAACGGTTCGCCACGGACTCCAGTCAGCAGACACATTCCAGCCAATCAGCAGCAGACCCTCCCTCCCAGACCCTCCCACCTCCTGGACAGCTCACTAAGAATGCAGCTTCAAAATGGATGCTGTCCAGGAGGTGGGAGGGTCTGGGAGGGAGGGTCTGCTGCTGATTGGCTGGAAAGTGTCTGCTGACTGGAGCTCGCAGCGAACCGTTCGTGGCGAACTGTGGCGAACCATTCGCGAACCGTTCGGCGAACAGTTCGGGACATCACTATTTGTGATCAGATAAAGAGAGGAGACTTTGAAAATCTTGTGTTTTAAAATGTAATATGTGATATTTACTATATCACTGTATCCTGCAATAATCCTGTTACTTATCATATTTCTTTATTATATTCCTATGTCACTGGATGTTTATGAGCCTTTATATTTTCTGTTACACCAGGTGAGAGCTTTTTATAGCATCTGGAATATGCGTGAAAACAAATTCTATTTCTTTATAGAACAAAAAAGGTCTTTAATAGATGGGACAGACTTTATTATGGTGGCAGAGTAACATGCTGTAAACACGGCAATCTCAACTGATTAGCTCTCAGCTATATATACATTGACACACACAGCGGTATATTGCTGAGAGGGACAATATTGCCATGTGTTCTTCAGAAGTGACAAGTAAGCAAACTATTGTTCCCGACCATAAATGTCAATGGTACAAGCATAAGGTCAGGGTTCCTTGGAAATTGGATAGCGAACGATACGTCTTGGGCCTTTGACTTTAAAGGCAATCACTACAGAGCAGCTAAAAACCAATTGAATAGATGCTTGCGTGATGTAACAGTATCAGGAGAAACAATTCGAGAGCCAAAGCATTCCTGAATACACGCAGAGAGTGACAGTAATATTGTACGATAAATATACACCACGCCAGTGACAGAAGAGAAATCCATTCCGGGCTCGCAGTTCCCCCGTTATCTCCTGTCTGATGTCTTCCTTCTAAACCTTTAAAGCACCAACAAGCAATTACTGTATTCTGGACCATTCACACTATAGAACTACTCTGAGTATTGTATCCTATATAACTGTATAATACTCTGAGTATTGTATGCTATACAACTGTATAATACTCTGAGTATTGCATCCTATACAACTGTATAATACTCTTGAGTATTGTATCCTAAAGAACTGTATAGTACTCTGAGAATTGTATCCTATAGAACTGCATTAAACTCTGAGTATTGTATCCTATAGAACTGTATAGTACTATGGGTATTGTATCCTATAAAACTGTATAATACTCTGAGTATTGTATGCTATACAACTGTATAATACTCTGAGTATTGCATCCTATACAACTGTATAATACTCTGAGTATTGTATCCTAAAGAACTGTATAGTACTCTGAGAATTGTATACTATAGAACTGTATAATACTCTGAGTATTGTATCCGACACAACTGTATAATACTCTGAGTATTGTATCCTATAGAACTGTATAGTACTCTGAGTATTGTATGCTATACAACTGTATAATACTCTGAGTATTCTATCCTATAGCACTGTATAATACTCTGAGTATTCTATCCTATACAACTGTATAATACTCTGAGTATTTTATCATATAGAACTGTATAATACTCTGAGTATTGTATGCCATAGAACTGTATAATACTCTGAGTATTGTATCCTATAAAACTGTATAATACTCTGAGTATTGTATCCTATACAACTGTATAATACTCTGAGTATTGTACTCTATAGAACTGTATAATACTCTGAGTATTGTATCATTTAGAACTTTACAGTTCTGCATATTGTATCCTATAGAATTGTATAATACCCTGAGTGTATAGTACTCAGAGTATTGTATCCTATAGACCTGTATAATACTCTGAGTATTCTATCCTATACAACTGTATAATACTCTGAGTATTTTATCCTATAGAACTGTATAATACTCTGAGTATTGTATGCCATAGAACTGTATAATACTCTGAGTATTGTATCCTATAAAACTGTATAATACTCTGAGTATTGTATCCTATACAACTGTATAATACTCTGAGTATTGTACTCTATAGAACTGTATAATACTCTGAGTATTGTATCATTTAGAACTTTACAGTTCTGCATATTGTATCCTATAGAATTGTATAATACCCTGAGTGTATAGTACTCAGAGTATTGTATCCTATAGACCTGTATATTACTCTGAGTATTGCATCCTACAGCACTGTATATTAGATGTACAATGGTGCATGTACACAATGAACTTGAGCATCCTGGGTGATGGGTATACGGTGATGAGTATACACTGATGCATGTACAGTGATGGGTGTACATTGATGGGTATACACTGATAGGTGTACAGTGATGGGTGGGCAATGATTGGTGTACATTGGTGGCTATACACTGATGGGTGTACAATGATGAGTGTACAGTGATTGGTGTACAATGATGGGTGTACAGTGATGGGTGTACAGTGATGGGTATACAATGATGGCTGTACAGTGATGTATGTACAGTGATAGGTGTACATTGATGGGTGTGCAATGATAGGTGTGCAGTGATGGGTGCACATTGATGGGTGTGCAGTGATGGGTGTACAGTGATGGGTGTACAGTGATGGGTGTACATTGATGGGTGGACAATGATGGGTGTACAGTGATGGGTGTACATTGATGGGTGGACACTGATGGCTGTACACAGTATGCTATGCCAGTCACAGATACCCCTATTTAATGTATATAAAATAAAGTGGCCCTTGCTCAGATTTTCTCCAAATTTTGGTCCAGACACATACAGGTGGCATTAGGCAGATTTTAATTGTCCATAAGACATTTCGGCTCTCACAGGAGCATTTCTCACGCTTGTATGGACTTCCGATAAAATCTGCTCAATCCCACCTGTAAGTACCCGGTCCATTTTCTTTCACTATTAGCCACCGATACCCCGTCACGGAGGGCAAGCCTGACATAACGATAGAAAGACAATGAAAGAGTCTGATACGTGATATACAGCCCTCGGGCAGAAGTTTGCTCTGCAGTGTCATACTATTCTGTTGGAACTTGTAAACCAGTGTCTCACAACAGCACTGTGTACATAAAACATTCCTAAATATATGGACTGAGTGGATAAAATAGCAAATTAAAGCACCTGTAAAACATGACTAAACAAGTAAAACCCCGAGCTTGAGCTGCCATTCTTTCTACACATGTTGTATAATTTAACCCTTAGCATGCAGGAAGTGTGCTGCTTATTAATGGGCATTAAAGAGTGAATCAGCTAATCTAGGGGAAAGTGTTAATGCTTTATGTTATTACGCTTTGCTTCTTCCATTTCTTCGGTTTTCTATTTCTGAATTTAGATAAGTACCTTTGCACTCTAGGTACAGTCAGCGTGGCCTGAGAATAAAACGGTACGGCAGATAAACGCAATTATCAGAAATCTGATACTAATTACCGAAAAACTGGAAATTACAAAATTAATATTTATCCCACAGAAAGCTCTGGATGTTTCCATTTAAAAGGGGCAGCCTAAAAACTATAACCACTGTATGCCACTACACACGCTGAGAATTGCCCTTTAACCTTGAAAATCTACCTATTCACCCTGAGAATCTGCCCATCCAATCTGATAATTTGCCCAATCACCCTGAAAATCAGCCCATCCAAAATGATAATCTGCCCATCCAATCTGATAATCTGCCCAATCACCCTGAAAATTAGCCCATCCAAACTGATAACCTGCCCATCAAATCTGAGAATCTGCCCATCCAAACTAAGAATCTGCCCTAACACCCTGAGAATCTGCCCATCCAAACTGAGAATCTACCCATTTTATTTTTAGTATCCTGTGAGTTTTATTTGTTATGGATGGAGAACACAATTCCATTGTCTTTATGCAATAGATTAGGAATGTCTACATGGCAATGGTAACTCAAGGTTCATGAGTTTAAAATGCCAGCATGGGTCACTAAGCCGCTCTGCAAGGCAGCCGCAATGAAGACCAGATGTGCAAAGTTAGTAATAATGAACGTTAATGTGTCTGTAAGCTTAGCTGGTGTCTCTCCCCATTGCTCTCTAGTATACAGAGAGCAGATGGGAGCAAGGCTACTGCACGGAAAGGTTGATTGTTAGCTCTTTGGACAGGTCGCATGCTAAACGAAGAATAGGGATGAAAGCATTCTCAGATCAGCTTCTAGAAAGTCTTCTCGGATTTCGAGTTCCATAGCTTGTTAACACTGCGTGCCACCATTTCACTACTCTTTTCGCATGCTATCTAAACATTGTGCCACCGTCATGCCCATTATTAGCGAGAAACAAATATCCTCTTTTATTTTCAAAAACTAACAAATGCTAAAATTAATTTTCTCATGTAAAAACCCAAACACAAGTAAAACTGTTTATTAGATATTACTGTAAACACTCAGCAACTACGTACATGCTCAATCCAGACACCCATATCTAATGTGAATAGAATGCAATATCCTACAAACTACACGTGCACTAACACTTGATTGTGTTATTTATACATTTAACAAATCAAAAACATAAAATCCTGAACAAACTGATCAGTGCAAGCGATTAGTGACATCATATACATGCGACTGACTGAGAGAGAACTGGACAATTAGTGACATCATATACATGCGACTGACTGAGAGAGAACTGGGCAATTAGTGACATCATATTCCTGTGTCTGACTGACAGGGGGAACCAATGAGTGAACTGGGCGATTAGTGACATCATATTCCAGTGTCTGACTGAGAGAGGGAACCAATGAGTGAACTGGGCATCATATTTCTGTGACTTACTGAGAGAGCAGGTCAGCAAGGGATTGGGGTGACCAGTGACATCATATTCCAGTGCCTGACTGAGATAGCGGCCCAGAAAGGGATTGTGGTGATCAGTGACATCATATTCCTGCATTGTATCCTATACAACTGTATAATACTCTGATTATTGTACCCTATAGAACTGTATAATACTCTGAGTATTGTATCCTATACAACTGTATAATACTCTGAGTATTGTACCCTATAGAACTGTATAATACTCTGAGTATTGTATCCTATAGAACTGTATAATACTCTGAGTATTGTATCATTTAGAACTTTACAGTTCTGCATATTGTATCCTATAGAATTGTATAATCCTCTGCATATTGTATCCTATAGAACTGTATGATGC